GGTTATTCTTTCCCTGAAGCTTCAAGTTCAATTCATTCATGTGGGATGTGATGTCAACCAAAAATGACAACTTTGACAGCCAGGTAGGACCTGAGAATAGTGGATCAGCTCTATCCTTTTCGGTGAGAAAAATATCTATTTCTCTTCGGAGCTTATAAAAACGAAACAGGACTTTACCGCAGCTTAGCCACCTCACTGCTGTGTGATAAGGCAAGTCACAGAATTCAGAATCAATTTCTTCAAGAAAAGCCTGGAATGGCGGTAATTAAGTGCATGACCCCGACGACTGGTTTCAGTACACAAGAAATATCTAAGTGTTTCCACAGAGTGCAAGAAGGGTCATTCAGTATCCTGAGTGCAAACATTTTAACTTGAGTACAGGCAGTTTTCTATCAGCTTGTAAAGAAGTTTAATCAATACAGCAATAGTTAAAATTCTTATACAGTTTGGTTAAGTAACACCACCGGAAGAAAAAAGAACAGGTGTTATTAGTAACACGCTTTCAGTGCAGAAAGGGTTAATACAATCCCGGGATTTGGGGGAGCTCCATTTAGTGGCGTAACTAGGTCTTAAAGGGCCTTGGGGTGAAAATGAATAAATAATAAGTGGTCTTCCCCTCCTATTACTACCTTTTCTATTTTGCAAGGTATTTTCCCTCTCGATTTCAAATTTTGAGAAGTTCCCTCAGGGTCCCTGGGCAGCCTGAGGCATCTTCCCCACCTATTTCTACATTAGTGGACCTATTAGCATACAGAATCACGTAATTGCAAATTCTAGTGTTGAAATCCACATCTCCTTTTTAAGGGACGTATAGCTTTTTCAGAATATAAAAAATAAGGAAAACCTGAGATCGAATTCATGAATTGAATTAAAGCATAATAATTTATCTAAAATATTTTAAAATTCTAATAAGGGCAGTTGTCAACTTGTAACTTTTTTCTCCCCAATTTAAAGAATAGTAGATTAAAACTGGCAGGACTGCATAAGGGTTAGTTTTATATTGAAAACGTTACGATTAATTTAAACTGAATGAATAATTATAGTCGTTTTAAACAAACAATTATGTGCAGCTACTGTGTCAAGTTCATTCAACGAATAAAATAATAGCAACTTGCTTACTTCTGCCAATTCTTCCCACGAGAAGAAGCATGTATGGTTCATTTGGCAGTATATGGGGTTAGATTTGTAAAGGTCGACTGAAATGGCTAACTTTTGCCAGAATATGGCCATTTTTTAAAAAACTCTTTCAGAAAGAAATTTGCTTTTTCTTGTACTACGATAAAATACTTAGAGGTTGAGGGTATCCTTAAGTGTGTAGGTTGTCCCACCCCCGAACCAAAATCATAGATACGCCACTGTCTTTTATAGAAGTTTTGTTTCACAATGCCACAAGTCAATGTTTTAAAAATTTGATGAATATAAGCTTTAAAAGTCTACAGACAAAAAGTATCCTTATAAGGCTGAATAAAATAGCATTCATATGAATAAATCGTGCACTGTTATTAACTAATGTTGAAATCAACCAACCCACTTAGGTTTCAAGCAAATCACCTTGGTGGTTAGAGTGAGCACTCTTCATTAGGTCTTAGAATAAAATATATAGAACTTCACGATCTTGTAAACTATTATTTAATGTCGGTATCTTTGCTGCTTACACAGTTAATTATATATTTACTTCCTCGTGGTTACGGTACTGAAACTGAAATTTACGGTTCGCGGATTGAAATCCGTCGCCGAAGATGTTCGCTCTTTTAGGCTTAGGGTGTTATATTGTGATAGCCGATCCCACTATTCGTTGGCAAAGAGTAGTCCAAGAGTTTGTGGTGAGTGTTTTTG